TCTATAACACCACACCATCTGCAGACGAAATTGGCTGAGGCTCGACATCGACAACCCTCGACTGTAAATTAGGGCTACGGTTTGTGTCATGGGCGAGGTAGCATGACACTAGCGAGGCTATGGGCACCCTAGAGGACAAGCGGGAATCGAGTATGGAGGAGGTGGACCTGAGTGACACCAATATGCGGTGTGCCAATAGCGACACCCTGCCTGCTGATGTGTTTGACGAGGCACCTGACCCTCGCATTCAGGTTGGAGGAATCCCTTTGCCTCGTTTATGCCTTGCTTGGAATGAAACAACTAAAATAAATATGATGTAGGAGTTAGTTAGATCATTATCTATCGATTGATATTTTATGAATGTGATCTAGATAGTGTGTTAATTTATAGTGAGTTATTAATTAGTTGCCACGAATTAAGTTGATGTTTATCATTTATCAGATATTATTGATTTCAGACTATTATTTAAAGCTTAACTGACTTTTAAGATTAAATGATATTAATTATAAGGACAAAAACGCGTTTAGGGCATCATCAGAAGATATCCTAGTGATGACCTACATTTGTCTGTCAGTGGTTCTTGACCAGTGGGAGGGGGGGGGTAACTTCCAAGGGGTGGGGAAGGCGTAGAAAAAAGTGAGAATTTCTTTTTCTTTTAATTAAGGTTAGATTTTTAAACATTTGGTTGAAGTGAGGGTTGGTGGCCTGGATGTAAGGACCACCTGCAGAGAGAGGGTGTGGTGGCAGAAAGATTAATAGCCAATGGTCTGTGTAATTATTAGATGGTATATTGTACCTTTATTGTAAAGTTAAAGTAAATTTCATATAACACTCTAGAATTTAAAGAATATTTTCTTCATATTCTTTAATGGTTATCCAATAAGTTTGTTGATACTTTCTTTTCAGGATTGTTATATTTTTCTCAAAATATTACTAAGAAAAAAAGAAATGGAAACTGATGGACATGCTTTATTCTGACATACAGTTTGTGAGAAATACAGTGTGTGTGTGTGTGTGTGTATGTGTGTGTGTGTGTGTGTGTGTGTGTGTGTGTGTGTGTGTGTGTGTGTGTGTGTGTGTGTGTGTGTGTGTGTGTGTATGTTTGTGTGCACATGTATGTTTATTCACAGTTACCACATATCAGTTAACTATTACAAGTCAAGTATGGTTCATATGTTGTTTCATCTTACAGTAAATCCTTATATTAAGATCAGTACATCTCATATCTTCCCACATTAACCACTGATATCTATTTGCTTTTTCAGCATTACTTTTTTAATCTAAATTGTATTATCAAGTAACACATAAATTATAGTGGTGGATCATCAGTGATGTAGTTTTAGCTACAATGACAAATATGTATTATCAATTATCATTATTCTTTTTTGAACAGGTGGAACTGGAATGTCTCAACACCTCCACTGATACTATAAACAAATTAGAAGTTGACCTTGATGTAAGTAAGAATGTAATATTAGTCTTCTAAGTCATATTCATATGTCTGACCTTTGTTTTTCTTTTTATTGAAATACAAATTAGTTACTTCATTTAGACAGTTTAGATTCTGTTTTCCTGAACAGGAAGCCCGAATGCAGTTCCGACAACTTCTAGCTGATTCTACGCAGCGGATAGATGCTCTTGCCAAAAGATTAGGGAAATGTGTGGAACAGTCTCGTCCGTACTACGATGCCCGCATTCGAGCCAAACAGGTATTGTGAGATATTTGTAAATTGTTACTGATCAGAGTGCATCCCCCAAAGACTAAATCCTTTACCCTACAGATGCTGGGATAGCAAGAGTACTTGTCATGTCCATTTTTTTTATCAATTGGTTGTCTATATATAAAGATGGTTACACAAGTGTATAATCACCAAGTAGTTAATTCCCATTTACCCTTTTCCTTGCTTTAAAAAAAATAAAATAAAAATCAATCATATTAATATTAATGATAGCATTATGATAATCATGATGACAATCATAATAATTTCATTTTCAGTAGTAATAGCATTATAAAAAAAATAATAATAAAATAGAAAATAAAAAATGCAGGGTAACATAGATTCCTTGGTGGCTAAGTACTTATGGAGCTATCTATGTTCAGACAGAATTCACTAATGAAAAATTCAATCAGCAGCACATATACCTGGCATCAATGGTATAATACTCTAGCCAGAAACATAACATAACATAAACTAACCTACATCTGTATGTGTGAACTCAAACATTAAATTATTCCCCAGCCAAAGGTCTTATCAATTGCTTCTGTAGTTATTTGTAAGGCAGTATTCATTACATTCTTGCAGTCATGTTCACAATTACCAAAACTTTATGACTGCATTGGAACACAGAAATTGAAAGAATAATATTGAGTAGTGTAAATACGCATCATATGGTTATTATGTAGACCTATTTATTACAGTTATTGTTATGAGTTTTTAAAATCATATTTTCTACCTTCATTATATTATAGGGTGTTTTGTAAATCACATTGTGATATGGATTTTCTCTTAAGTTAGAATGACTTAGTTAGTTACTGAAAGAGATTCCAACTTGTAAGAAATTTTTAATTTGAGTTTTTAGAATTGCCACTGTCTGATTATAAAGAATAGACTCACTAGTGGGAAAGAAGCATTTACTCTTGAGGCACATGATTTGCACTGGAAAAACCTTCAGACAGTTAATGAATATTTCATATAGGGAAATTTTTAGCAAGTCATCAAGAGTCCTAGCTTGATGACTGCATCATTTTATATGGCAGTGACTTAGGAATGCAGACTCAAGCATTTTTTGTTTCTCTCGCTTATTTAGGCACTCAGGGAAACCCAAATAGCAGCTGTACGATATGAACGTGCTATGAGTCAACATGCTGCAGCTCGGGAGATGGTTTTCTTGGCAGAAGAGGGACTCATGCAGAAGGGTTGTGTCTTTGACCATACCTGGCAGGAAATGCTTAATCATGCAACTTCCAAGGTACCTTTGACCTACCCACAGTTAAAAAAAATGGAAATATCATTCCTGTTGATTAGGTTGTTTACCAGAAATATTTAGCAACTCTACTCCAAACTGTACTTCACAACTAACAATAACAGTTAATATAAGGGATTCCCAAATGGATATTGGAGTATAAGTGAGTTCCTTTGCATGATTTTTTCCTAATTTTACCAGATTTGAAATTTTGTATCACTAACATTGAATCAGTTCCATGGTGAAAATATTGTGAAGATTATGTGTATTACAGTGCCTAGGATAATAATAATTTAGTATGAAAAAATATATTTATTATATGATTTTATTACGTACAATTTTTTACTTTTAAATTCTTTACCATTTTCAAAACATAGAAATGTATTCATTACAAGAACTCACTTACTGGCATAACCTTTTCTCGTGATTCTCAATCAGGTTAACGATGCAGAGAAGGAAAAGCTGGAAAGTGCAGCAGACCACCGCCGCACTTCAGCATTATACCACGAGGCAGAGACAAGAGTGAAGACATTACAGAAAGAACTGAAGAGAGCAATTGCAAAGTCGAGGTGATTATCTTTTATTCTCGTGCATGCTTTGTATGTCGATGCAACGTCATTATTTATCTAACCACTAATGCTGGCACTTATTTATTTATTTTATTTATATTTATTTAAATGTTGATAACCATAGTGTTCATCTTCACCAGGACTAGATGTCATAGTTTAGTGTTAGCCTTATCTTCGCTTTTTTATGTGTGTCCTTGTATTTGTTTTGTATGTTTAGCTTGGATGGAGAAATATATGAGGAAAGCTAACAAGGATTTACTAGGTATATGCATGATGACTCAGCTATTGTGTCAAAGTCTAAGATATAGTGGTCACCAAAAAACAAAGATGTAAAACAGAGAAAAGAAAGGATAAATAATATGGTTAGTTTATCTTATTAAGAGTTTTAAGTGTTATTAGGCATAAGTTGTTTAGTTTAAAAAGTTAAAGAGCACATTGATTTTATTTCTTTTATTCTCAGTGCTTATATTTTCTGTTGGCACTTTTTTTTTGTTCACTGTCAAGACTAATTTAATTTTCAAAAATATGTTTTTCAGATCTTCCCTGAATATGTCTTTAAAAGTAATTTTTAGAGGGATATGGAAAGAGAAAGAGTGAGAGATGATGAGTAAGTAGGAGAGGAGAGACTAGAGAAAGGAATGAGAAAGGAAGAGTGGGGAATGAAGAAATAAAAGAGAAAGAGAGAAATGGACACTTGATTTTAAAAGTTTGAAAGAGGACAAAAAGAATAAACATAAAATAATGTCTGAGAGAGAGAGAGGCAGAGAGAGAGAGAGAGAGAGTGAGAGAGAGAGAGAGAGAGAGAGAGAGAGAGAGAGAGAGAGAGAGAGAGAGAGAGAGAGAGAGAAGAGAGAGAGAGATGGGGGAGAAAGAGAGAGAGAGAGAGATGGGGGGAAAGAGAGATAGGGGGGAGAGAGAGAGAGAGATAGGGGAGAGAGAGAGAGAGAGATAGGGGGAGAGAGAGAGAGAGATAGGGGGGAGAGAGAGAGAGAGATATGGGGGAGGAGAGAGAGAGAGAGAGATGGGGGAGAAAGAGAGAGAGATATGGGGGGAGAGAGAGAGAGAGAGAGAGAGAGAGAGAGAGAGAGAGAGAGAGAGAGAGAGAGAGAGAGAGAGAGAGAGAGAGAGATATGGGGGGGAGAGAGAGAGAGAGAGAGATATGGGGGGGAGAGAGAGAGAGAGAGAGAGAGAGAGAGAGAGAGAGAGAGAGAGAGAGAGAGATGGGGGAGAAAGAGAGAGAGAGAGATGGGGGGAAAGAGAGATAGGGAGAGAGAGAGAGAGAGAGATAGGGGGGAGAGAGAGAGAGAGAGAGAGAGAGAGAGAGATGGGGGGAAAGAGAGATAGGGGGAGAGAGAGAGAGAGATAGGGGGAGAGAGAGAGAGAGATATGGGGGAGAGAGAGAGAGAGATATGGGAGAGAGAGAGAGAGAGAGAGATATGGGGGGGAGAGAGAGAGAGATATGGGGGGGGGAGAGAGAGAGATATGGGGGGGAGAGAGAGAGAGAGAGAGATAGGGAGGAGAGAGAGAGAGATAGGAGTGGAGAGAGAGAGAGAGATAGGGGGGGAGAGAGAGAGAGAGATAGGGGGGGGGGAGAGAGAGAGAGATAGGGGGAGAGAGAGAGAGAGAGATAGGGGGAAAGAGAGAGAGAGAGAGAGATAGGGGGAGAGAGAGAGAGAGGGGGGGGAGAGAGAGAGAGAGAGATCAGAGGGGGGAGAGAGAGAGAGAGAGATAGGGGGAGAGAGAGAGAGAGATAGGGGGAGAGAGAGAGAGAGATAGGGGGAGAGAGAGAGAGAGATAGGGGGAGAGAGAGAGAGAGAGAGAGAGAGAGAGAGAGAGAGAGAGAGAGAGAGAGAGAGAGAGAGAGAGATAGGGAAGAGAGGGAGAGAGAGAGAGAGAGATAGGGAAGAGAGGGAGAGAGAGAGATAGGGAAGAGAGAGAGAGAGAGAGATAGGGAAGAGAGGGAGAGAGAGAGAGAAAGGGAAAAGAGGGAGAGAGAGAGAAAGGGAAAAGAGGGAGAGAGAGAGAAAGGGAAAAGAGGGAGAGAGAGAGAAAGGGAAAAGAGGGAGAGAGAGAGATAGGGAAGAGAGGGAGAGAGAGAGATAGGGAAGAGAGGGAGAGAGAGAGATAGGGGAGAGAGGAAGAGGAGGGAGAGATAAGGGAGAGAGGGAGAGATAGGGGAGAGAGGGAGATAGGGGAGAGAGGGAGAGAGGGAGATAGGGGAGAGAGGGAGAGAGGGGAGATAGGGGAGAGAGAGATAGAGAGATAGGGAGAGAGGGGAGAGGGGAGAGGGGAGAGGGGAGAGAGAGACAGAGAGAGAGAGAGAGAGAGAGAGAGAGAGAGAGAGAGAGAGAGAGAGAGAGAGAGAGAGAGAGAGAGAGAGAGAGAGAGAGAGAGAGACAGGGGGAGAGAGAAAGAGAAAGAGACAGGGGGAGAGAGAAAGAGAAAGAGACAGGGGGAGAGAGAAAGAGGAAGAGAGAGAGAGAGAGAGAGAGAGAGAGAGAGAGAGAGAGAGAGAGAGAGAGAGAGAGAGAGAGAGAGAGAGAGAGAGAGAGAGAGAGAGAGAGAGAGAGAGAGAGAGAGAGAGGGAGGGAGGGAGGGAGTATGAGTGATTGAGATAGTGAGTGAGTGATTGAGAGAGAGACAAAGAGAGTGAGTGAGAGAGCAAGAGAGAGAGAGAGAGAAGGAGAAGAAATGGAATTTTTCAAATGTGCATGGATATTTTCATCTTTCTCCCTGTGTATGTAACTATGATTTGGTTCTGGACATACATATGAGTACTAATGAATTGTAGGAAGAGAAATATGATAAGAACATTTGCCATATATGAAGATACAGATACCAAAATATAAATCAAGAAGTTCTTTATTTACAGAATAGGTGAGCTGACGAAAGAAAATGACAAAAGTTTACTGAAATAGAGGGTCATTTGCATTTTTTTTATTTAAAATATACTAACATTTTACTAACTCATTGCCAACTTTATAGATTTAATGTTAATGCAAAAAGATATTCTGAGTCACATGTAGGATGCATGACTTTGATGTTAACAGAAGAGCAGTAATAAATCCATCGTTAAGCTTCACTGTTTCACATGCAGTGTTGGACGCTGAGATCCTAGCTCGAGTGTTGAGACATTGTTTCTAGTGTTTTAGCTGGTCCCTTAAGCTTTCTTCTTTTGTTGTAGGAAGTGACCTTAAAATGCTTGCATCTTGATGGCCTGTTTATTTCTCCACATTTGTTTCTCTCCCAAGTTTGAATGCACGTCGCAGCCTCTTGCAAATGAATAACCTTGCGAGGATGCACCAGCTACAGCTGCTGTAAGTAGGTCCTAAAGTAGCTTTTCCTGTTTGGGTTGGTTCTCGTGTGCCAAGAAGTGACCTGAAAGTAATTTCTAATTTTAATTATGAAGAATGAAATTCAGATATTATAAGTTTTCTTTTTGGATTCACAGTAACAAATTTATGCAATAGTAAATCAAAATAATAATTTTTAAGATTTATTCATTATCCATTACCAAGAATTGAAAAGAAAAAGAATGATCTCATTGTAGATCCAGCCCAGACATATTTTTGTTTTATTTAGTTATACTGTTATCTCAAACATGCCTTAGTTATAATGTATTGTGTTTTTTTCTTTGATTTGCAGATTATGTTTGCATTTTCTTGTTTGTTTTTAGACACAGATAGATTAATATTTGTAATCAAAATATCACCAACAGGTATTGGTGTTATTTATTACTTATATTATCACTCACTGTATCTTACTGGCATCCTTAGATAAACAACATTGTTGTGATTTCATATGGAAATAGTCAAGTGATTATGTTTTGGACATTTGAAATACAAGGAGATAGAATTTTTTTCACTATATTTCAATAATATTTGGTTTTATTAACTGAAATGTAATTATTATGTTTCCCATCATATATGATAATAGAATGCAAAAATTAATACCACCCATCAACAAAATAATTCATTTTTATTAAGTGTCCTTAATCATGAATTGAATGTTAAAAGCTGAAGAATTGATTTTTTTAATGATATTGTCTATCAAGTAAAACCCCATAATGAACCACTGTGGGACAGCAAAGTTCAAAGCCTTGAGTGGCCACAGGACGAGAAAAATGCACCTCTTTTGTCTGCATAATTTCAGTTAAAATTGTCCTGATTTGGATATTTAATATGGATGATTTGGACACTTTTTTTTTGACCGCGTCTGATTGTTTCATCCAGTGGGCACACAAACCCTTAAATAAAGAGTGCTATTTATCATCCTTCAAAGTTTAAGTGTAATATTTATTGGCAGGAAACACATGTTATGCAAATAAAAGTTTATTGAAAAGCTATGTATAGTGTCTTTTTCTGCTACAATGTATATTACAATAACAAAATTATTTGACTGCTAATAGCCTTAATACCATTTTTCTTTTCTGTCTATATGCATGAATGATAAACTAAGAGGAACTAATAATCTTATATAAAAGCTTTATATCTATAATCTCTTTATTGCTTGAGATTTTAATTGTGTCTTATCCTGAAGAGATAATCAACATTGTGCATTGCTTCTATAAGTGATCTACAGTCTATAACTTTGTGGTTATCGGAGTGATAACTGAATAATTCACTTGTAAAAATATCAAGAGAAGAATATAGTTGACTTTGAGACCTTAATTAAGATGCAACTTTAAGAGACATATTTTGGTGTAGTCATTGAACAGTAGCTACTCACTGCAATATTAAAAGATTCTTTAATAAAGTAAGTCTGTTTGATGCATGTATACACACACCTACACACACCTACACACACCTACACACACCTACACACACCTACACACACCTACACAAACCTACACACACATACACACACATACACACACATACACACTCATACACACACATACACTCATACACACATACACTCACACACACACACACACACACACACACACACACACACACACACACACACACACACACACACACACACACACACACACACACATGCACACTGACAAAATACAAGTAGAGAGAGAGAGAGAGAGAGAGAGAGAGAGAGAGAGAGAGAGAGAGAGAGAGAGAGAGAGAGAGAGAGAGAGAGAGAGGTGTACACACTCATGCATGTGCACACACACACACACACACACACACACACACACACACACACACACACACACACACACACACACACACACACACACACACACACACACACACATACACACACACACACACACACACACACACACACACACAGATATATATACAATAGATATATTTGTTTGTGTGTGCACACGCACATGCACATGCACATGCTTGTGCATGCCTGTGTATCTTTGTGTCTTTGTGTGTGACTGTGTCCTGCTCTTTGGGTCTCTGACTCAGACTCACCAAAACATTCACTCTCTCTCACACACACACACACACACACACACACACACACACACACACACACACTATCTCTCTCTCTCTCTCTCTCTCTCTCTCTCTCTCTCTCTCTCTCTCTCTCTCTCTCTCTCTCTCTCTCTCTCTCTCTCTCTCTCTCCCTCCCTCTCTCTCTCTCTCTCTCCCTCTCTCTCTCTCTCTCTCTCTCTCTCTCTCTCTCTCTCTCTCTCTCTCTCTCTCTCTCTCTCTCTCTCTCTCTCTCCCTGTAATTTGTCAGTGTGCATGCATAGCTAAGAGTGATAATTCCTAGAATTGGTCCTCTTGGGCTTAAGAATTGGTGACCTCACTGAATCACAGTGTTTATAAGTCTTCTGTGAATGCTGAGATTGTACTCACAGTGAAATTAATCTTCTCTCCTCTTCTTTTTCTTCTTCTTCTTTTGCATCCAAACTTTGTGCATGGAATTCCTCAATGAGAGTCATAACAGATTGAAAATCAGTATTACTTTGTAAAGAACTATCATTCTGACATGGATTGATTTAACTCATCAGAAGCAGAGAGTAATTGTACTTAAAATGCATTGTTGCCAGATTGTTGCTTTGAATACTGAAATTCCCATAGATGAAGTGATGAAAGAGAGTGAGCAATTGTATGATCACCAAAATTGCAAGAGATCATATTAGGGATGTTGATCAGAAAATAAGACATTGCTTTATATTTTTTCTTTTCTTTTTTCTTCTTATAGGAATAATAAAATATTCACAAAAGGAGAATATAGAATAAAAAACAATAGTGTAAAGTCATCAGATTCAATCATTTAACTTCCTAAGAACGATCCACAATAAAATCATTTCATAAATCCTTGACAATATCTTTTTCCCAGGCCCTATTTTGAGCTGAAAGCAGCAATAAACCAGCAGCTTGAGGCTCAGAAGCAGAGGGTCAAGCAGCTGGAGGAGAGCGTTGCAAGAGCAAAGCTCACTTACTCGCAGGCTCTCTCAAACCTGGAAACAATCTCCGATGAAATCCACAGGGTACGTAAAATTTATTTTTGTCGTCCTTGCACCTTGGCAAGTTGTAAAGGATGAATCTGGCTAAAATGATTAAACTCTTCTTTCTTAACCGTAAGCCCTTTTTGCCTTCATCCTTGTTTCGTTGTTTTTTTCTCTCGTTCCTTTTCAATCTTCTCTTTGTATGTTCCTTTTCTTTCTTTTACTATTTTGCTCTTCCTCCCTCTTCCTCCTCCACTTTCACCTCCACCTCTACCTCCTCCTCCTCTTCATCATCATCATCATCATCATCATCATCATTATCATCATTTTCTTCTTCTTCCTTACCCTCTTATTATAAATGGGAATTGATCATATAAATTATCACCTCTGCACTTGCAGACCCGTCAGTCACAACTAGACCTGGGAATTCGTGGTGTTGGAGTTGGTGCTGAATCTCCTCTACCTCCATTGCAAGCTATTGATGGAGGTGTGCCTTTAGCAGCTCATCCCTTGCATTATGCAGAGTCTAGCCCAGAAGCTGCAGCTGACACAAATGAAGAATATAAAGCTTTACCTGGAAAATTAGGACCAGCTGCTGCTCCAATGTCCAAGGCTCAGGTAGGAGAACACTTCCTGATGATATATTTTAAAGTTTTTCTTTCTTTCTTTCTTTCTTTCTTTTTTTTCCTTTTTTCTTACCCAATTGATGTTAAATGGTGCCTTACCAAAAGGCTGCTTTAAGTGTATGTACAGAAATTTAGTGGTTTAGTTCTGTAAACAACTTTCAAAGAAATTCAAGTTTCTTAACCCATTGGTGCCGGGTATGACGTGTACGTACGTGCTATGCCCACCGTGAGTACTTGTTTGATTGTTTTTACGCATAGATGACAACACTTGTACTAACTCCCCAATGAGCCAGTTACGAGTACCTCCCGTCTCGCCCGTTTACCTGTTTCTTTGATTTACAAATTATTTTACGTTATCTTATTTTGCTGTCACTAATGTTAAAAAACATTATAAAAATTATAATGTTTATGATAAAAATAACACCATCGATTTTCATAGCACTAGTGAAAAATACGTTTTTCCCGCCATTTCAAATCAGGCGCTAGCAGAGCCATCTATCAGCAGACATTTCACGAAAAACATAGAAAGTGGGCACAGCATTTTCCCCATTTTTTGTTCATTTTCGCCGGCGGCATTGGGTTAAATGTTTATCAAATAGGCAGGAAAGAGAAAGGTGGAAAGTAATATAAAGTAAAGAGGAGGGGAAAACCAGATAATAGAGATTGTAAAGATGAGTACAAATCCTACATTGAATAGCAAGTGTATTGTGTCCTCTTCTTGGCATAAATTAAGATTGATTAGAGAGCTAACTTGAAAGATACTCTGAAAAGTTGAAGAGTCTGACAGATATTTAAAACAGTAATTCATTGGGAAAATATAATAGATAAAAGACAAATAGATTGATTTTTATTAATGCAAAATGTTTTTATGTATGGCAAAGTTTCATCAGCTATGGATGATACAGAATGACAATAACTGTTACACTTGAGTAAGGACCCATGTATAGCAAGACGTTAGTGAGATAGCAAAAATCAATACTCAGACATATATGTCAGAGGCCATTCCTCTGATAGATGCACTTTTTTATCCACAAACAAGTTTTATTATAACTTAATACAATATAAATGGTTTTTAACGGTCTGTCTCCTGACTCTACAGAAAATGACAACAGCAACCACAGCCATACCTCATGTACCAGCTGTGACTTCTTTATGTAGCACTACAGCTGCCACCCCTACCTGTTCATCTCCTGTACATACCTGTGCCAGTCAGGCTTCTCAGGACCCCAGTGTTTTAGGGTCAGGTGTACCTGGAAGCTTGGTTGTGGAAGCAGGGGAAGTTGTGGTTGAAGAGGTAGATGGGGCAGCCACTTGTACAGATCTTACTGGATGGCAGGTCAGTGCATTTAACAGTGATAAGTATGTGAAAAGATGATCTTGAACAGCCAGATTGTTATATGAAACTTTGTGATGGATATATACATACTTTGAAAGAAGATGTACATAATGTAAATTGAATTCTATTTGCTTATTAGATTATATATATATATATATATATATATATATATATATATATATATATATATATATATATATATATATATATATATATATATATATATATATATATATTTGTTATATACAGAATATTGATGTAAGGTGGCTTTTCTACACAACTCATAAAATAGTAGTCAGTAAAATTACCAGATTCAGCTTGAACATCACTGGCTTATAAAGTGAGATGAGATAAATACAAAACTCAACAGATACCAGTAGCAAACTTAGCTATATATTAAAAGGGCTGATGTTATGCTATACATTTAAAAATGAAAATCTTGGTATTACCATTACTTGGGAAAACATTTTTTATAATTAGGCATCTGTTGTCATATGAACATTTTTGAATTTGTTCGAGGATTGACCCTTCTCCCAATAAACATCCAGTTATATGGCCCAGAAAAATGCCTTCTTAAACCATCAAGGAATAATGTGTGCTTGTTGTTTCTGGTTTGTATGCACCTTATACATTGCCTTTAAACCCTAAACATCTGCTGTAGTAATATAATGAGAGTAAGAGAAGTATATAATCATTAATAGCACTACTAATTTTGTTGTTGTTATTGCTATTATTGTTGTTATCATTATTTTCATCATATATTATACTATTATTGTTACGATTTCTTCTATAATCATTGTTATTTCTCAGGGTCAGTACAAGTCTTGATATTCAAACATATATTGCAAGGTTTCAGTATGAGTGTCCTTAGCAGATCTATTGATATCCAATTCTACATTATACAAGTTTTAGTATGAATGTTATTGGTAGATATAGGGGAGGCAGGGAGTAACTATCCCCTTGAGTTGTAACCCCCCCCCACACACACACACACAACTCATAATTCTCTAAGGGAAATTCTAAATGCTTGCAAACCTAAGTCTAACCTAAGTCTAAGCCACTGTACCCCTCCCAAATTTACCTCAAATTTCTGAAAATATATGTGAAAATGCTCTATGCATATTATACTACTCTAAAGAGCAGTTCTTCATAATTAATTTGCCCACAATACAGTATCTAATTTAAGCATCCTTCCTTTTTTAGATGGCTATATCTGCCACTGGTGTGCACATTTGTGTGAGCCAGGTTGTAGTGGTAGCAAAATTTCCATAATTGGAAATTAAGGCATACATGTCAATGTAGAAATGTTAACCATGTTTTATGAAGTATTTTAAGTAGTTGCATGTAGTAACATAAGATTGTTTGGCACAGGTAATTGGCTTAGGCAGCCCAGCCCTCTCCCCTGCCCAGTATCTTACTGTAGAAGACCGGGACTCCATCATCTCAGACACAGAAAGTCTTGCCAGGTGTGTAGTCTTTTTGATTTTATCGTTAGTATTTGATGTCTGTAATACAGCTTTTAGGTGCACTATGATCACATCTTGTAATTATTTAATAGTTATATATATTTAAGAACAGGTCTATGAGCAAAATTATTTGATGGCTTTTGTTGTATTTAAGGACTGGTACAGTGTTATCAGGATGAACAAAAAGAACGGAATTCTTCAAGAAGTTTAGTTTAGTTATTTCATGTCATCCATCTTTGTAACTTTAAGGGCAAATATTTTTCATGGTCATTTTATTTCCAGCATTGAAATGCTAAGTGATGAAGCCATCGCAGGATTGATGTTAGATGAAGAATTAGCAGAGGCATCAAACTCAATGTGCACCCCAATGAACACTCCAGTAGTCGAAGGAAATCTTCCAGCTTCCTCATCCATCCACACATGGCCTTCCCTACTACAGAATTTTGTCAGCCCATCACAGCAGCCTTCCGAACCAGTAGCAACTACATCCCAAACTGCTGAATCCCAAGAGGAGGACACAAGTAACTGTGCTTCAGTTAGTCAGTCTATGAAGGGCCTTACTTTGGAGTCAACCTTGCAGGCAGGTGTCAGACAGATCAGGCCTCCTCATACTTTGGATATTCATCGTCAGTCATCTTCTGACAACTCTTCCCCTGAGGACCTAACACCTGGTTATGCGCCTTTGCGAGATACTCCTTATTCTCCAGAGGATTTTCCTCCCCTGAGTCATGGATATAGTACCCAGCCATCAGAAGGAACGTCATCACCTCCTAGCACTTCTACAAGTGATGAAGGCAGAGAGGAACCTCACCAGAGCTCTTGGGTGATGGAAAATGCCCCTTTGGACCAGGAAAGTGTCCAGTTGATTGAGAAATGAATGATGCCAAAGGAAATGAATGCTTTGTCATTTCCCCCTGAAATATCTTATTCAGTATTGCATGGGAAAAGTCAAGCAAGTGTGTATTGTCTGGTGCTTTTTTCCCATCATATTGACTAGTCAGGTATATTTACCCTTTAATCTTAAATACTTATTCTCCAAGGTTTCTTTTTTGTGAATATAATTTATGATTATATTATTCTGTAACAGAATTGCTTGTTAGCTATGCGTCCAAACATATTAGGGACTTAATGTACTGTTGTGACAGCATATCATGTTCAGAAAGGTAGCTAAGATTAAAGTATTGTTACTAGTTTATAATGAATAAAGCAAATGGAGTAATGATTTCGGCTTTAGTAATTAGTCTCAAAGAAAATATTCCATTACAGTATCTAGATGAAAAAAAGGCTGAAATATTTTGATTAATCTTGTAGTTCATTTTCAGAAGTTTTAGTAACTTTTAAAGCATATTTTTTCTGACATTTTCCGCTTTATCAATTAAGATATTGCATACTTGGTTGCACTGCTGATGTCTACAGGAATTACATTTTACAATGATTATGTTCAACTCATTGAGTTTCGGAATATTTTCTTTGAGGTTTGTTAAGGATAGGCAAGATATTTTATTTTGCAGTTTGTTTTGTTATATGTGAATTAAAAATTTTACGCTTTCTATTCCAGTAGATGTTTTAGTTCATTCCTTTGAAAGCCTTTGAAATGCACTGCTAGTTATACTGAAAGCATTAGCTGGAGTTACACTAAGGACCTGTCCACACAGGCAGCCACAAG